GGATTTTTGAAGAATTCTCCTTTGCCAGTCCAGAATTCCCATCACTTTTAAACACTTCTCCTCTGGCTACCAGCGTATAGTCTGTTAGTGGCAGTGAAAGTTGCACGTCACTCTGAACTTTTTTGAATCAAGGGCATATGCTGTTGAGCTTGCACTATAGTCTTTAGTAAGAAGAATGATCCCCTGCAGTTGGTTCTCTGTCAGTGGAAAAATAGCACAGTGGAAGCTTGCTTTTTGATTGCAGTCAGAAACTCAGGAGAGCTTCGTCCGAAAAACGCAGGCTTACCCTGATGAGCACAGGCTTCTCTTCAAAGGGTTATCTTGTGGCTTTGTCTGGCTTGCCTGCAGCAGATGCCCTTCCAGCAGCAGTGCAGTGTGGCCATAAACGTCTGCATGAAGGGACCCACCTTCAGGATCTGGATTTTGTCAAATTTTCCATGACAAAAAGAGTTGAGTTTTCAAAGCTGATGTCTAAATTTCATAAGGAGACTTAACTGCACTCCAAGAACTGGTGAACAGAGCCGTTTGCATGATGGTTATTTGTTGGTTATTTCCTTGGCATCTTAAATATTAGCACCAAATTGGAAGGATGCAAAAGCATTATATCATATATCATTTAACTGCAGTTTTCTTTCTCTTATAAGAAAACTATTCAAGGAAATTAGATTATAAGGTAAAATCATTTAGGTGAGCTGCTTTATGCACTGTAAGGAAGTGCTTGTGAGAGACTCTAGATCTGCCAATATATGGATTACATTGATGTTGCTCTGTATTCATACAAGCTATAATCTTAATTTGTGGACCATGCAAACAGAAAGACTGCATAGCCTTAGCACTGGTGCTGTTTCTGGCTATTTGTTACCATTTCCAGAAATCACATGGGAGCAGAATGCTAAAAAAGAGGCAGTTTTCAGGAAAAGCTGAAGCTCCCAGAATGCCGTGACACTGGGCACTGCAAAACCTACAGAAGCTAGCAGAGGGAAGCCACAGTTTCAGCTGATAGTTTCCAGACTATGCTCTTCCCTGACTCTGTGAGTTGTCTTCCTACCTCTCTACCTTGGTCTTCTAAGCAGACCAGTGTTGGCTGTGCGAGGACTTCTCAACATCCTTTATACTTCAAACAGGTTATCTCTAACCAGTTAGAATCTAAGCGCTGCTGGTTTTTAAGAGCTATTTGGTTTTGACTGGATTCCTACATGTTTGTGCACTGTGGCATACTGTGGCATATTGAGAGCAGCTGTGTGCAGTGCTTTTTGTAGTGTTACAGATGTAATATAGGCATTGAGCAGATAGATCATCTGAACATGCACAGTGAGCTCATCAAGAATGTTGGGATTACTGGCTTGGCAGCCTGGTCAGAGCTACTAAACACTTGCTCCACCTAGGTTGCCCTAGTTTCAAAAAATGTAAAAATTCCTGAAGTTCACCAAAACAAAATTTCCAGTAGCAAAAAGAGGATGTTTCGGCAGAAACCTCAAAATGTGGTAGTCCTATGCATGACACATAAGGAGTGTAGAGGAGAAATGCTTTACACATTGAGCCTTGTTTTCAGCTGGGAAGTGGCAATAACACCTGTGAGGAGACTTCCAGGCCCACTGCCTCCCAGCTGAAATACAGAATGGGTAGCATCATAATCTGAGCATTTGATGGAAGTCAACCCCAGGTTAAAAAATGACACCCACATGAATGTTGCAAAAACATTTATCAGGAAGAGACACAAACTCAGTCTGTTTATTTTGCAGACTGAATGATATGTAGGTTTCTATCAAAAGCAAATTTTTGTAAGGAAGCATGTTAAATCTTATACATTCCTGACTGGTTTGTCTAAAGAACTTCTTTATTTTTTAACTATTGGTTGAAGTGGCTATCTGAAATTTTTTATATAAATTAGGGAAGCAATTTCTGTTGCCTGTGATCTGTAAGTATTTAGTAAATCAGCCATGATATTTCTGGAAATAGACTAATTACTTTTTTTTTTTTGCATGAGTTACTTCATATAGCTTGCCATTTCTATGACAAGTTACATTTAAATCCTTGTTAACTGACTAGTGTTTTTGCTATTTATGTTTTGTGAATCACAATTTGAAAAAATAAATGTCATCTATGGACTATTAACAAAATGTTTTTTCTTATTATTTGGAATTTGTGGTTTGAAGATTGTTCTTTTCTATTATTACTCTGTTTCTTGTCTGGAAGGTTTTTAGCAGTGGAACTAGTGGGGAGTAATGAATAATCTTGTTTATGTGTGAATACCCTGCCAGTCAGGCAGGCAAAGAATAGCTATTATTCTAAAAAATAATGAAGAATCTGTTGCTCACCAGCCTAGGCTGCAGCTCCAAGGATATCATTGCATCTTCCACAGCCAGGAGGAAATGGCCCACCTTTTGTAGGCAGGGCCTAAACCTCAATTAGATAATTACAAGCCAGCTGGGTGATAGCCATAATTCCCTCTTTTTGTTTTACAGTTGTTTTTTTTGTTGTTGTTGTTGTTTTCAAGAAGGCTTTATAGTGAGCAGAGACCCAATTCATTCATTCCAACTCCAGCACACTTCCCTCTTTTGGGCTTGCAGCTTTACCTTCTTTATCAAAGGACTTCTCGCTCCGGCTCTGGCTCCGACTCTTGGCTCGGGCTCTGGCAAGGGAGTCAGGGTCAAGGTCTTCAGGGTCTCTCGTGAGGGTATCACATCAGGGTCACCAATTGTTGCTCACCAGCCTAAGCTGCAGCTCTAAGGATGTCATTGCACCTTCCACAGCCAGGAGGAAATGGCCTGCCTTTTGTAGGCAGGGCCTAAACCTCAATTAGATAATTACAAGCCAGCTGGATGATAGCCATAGAATCTGGTACAAATTGTAGAAAAGAACAAAGGAATGTTACAGTGGTTGACTTATACAGCGACTTGGATTTTTACTAATATTTTCAATGACTGGTTCTACATTACTTTACTGGTTCAAATTATTACAGGTGCTGCAAAAATAGCCATTAGTTATCAGAAAAAAAGTGCGGCAGTTCCTTCAATATGCTAGTAGCTTTAGAATTGTGTGAAATACCTATAGAAAATACATTATATCCATTCAAATTATTTAGTCAGTACTTAACAGAGAGGTAAGACTAATGTTTCAGAATTTGTGCACTATTGAAACTTTTCTTTTGAGAATGTTTAAATGTATTTTCTTGAATCTGCAGCATATTTCACGTAAATTCAGGTGTATACTCAAGCATTCATTCAAAAAGTATTAGCTTGCAACAAACATTGGCTATTGGATTTACATTTGATAACATGATCTGATGGAAAAAAGAAATGACAAGTTGCATGATGTGAAAAAAAAGCTCGCAAGCATTTTCGTGTGAATGTATTTTAAGATGGAAGCTATGTGCTTTCTAGGCTGATTGAAAAAACCTCAGGTTTTGTTCTTAAAGAATATGTTTTTGGTGTTATTCAAAGATAGATTTAACCACAAAGTTAGTTACTTCCTATTTGGCAATGACAGGAGATGAATAGTATGAGCTGGTTAAACTCAACTTTTTTCACATCTGTTATTGATAATGAATATACTAAAATACTTCTGAGATACTACAGTAACAAAAAAAAAAAAAAAGGTAACACTGCCTGGAGCTGTACAAATAGTAAGAAAACAAGGTAGATATGTTTCCATTGGTGACTAATTAGAATGCCACTTCGCCTATGTTTAACATTCTTTTGCTTGTTGTTTGCAAACGGTTGTTAAAATAGTTGAATATTTGCACATGGTGAATTTTGGGCCTTAAGCTAATATTTGTTGACACATAAAATGAATAATAGCAGAGAATAAATAGCTATAGTTAATACCACAGTGCAGCTCAAAGACACGAAGAAGGGCCAGATTTACTGAACACGTTTCTCAGCTTTAACAGTGAAATTCATGTAAACTTTTTCTTTCCAGATAGTTATAAAAAGTAAATATATAAAAAGTAAGTTATAAATATATAAAAGTAAGTTATAAAGTAGTTATAAGCTTGCCAACATAAAAACTGCAGAATAGTCCCAGTGGAAAAATGATTTGCTGAAATTCTGTTTCCACTCAAAAAAATAAATTAGGGAAGCCATGATCTATAGGGAGTATGAGAATGAATACCTTATTTTTTTCTAAGAGAAAAGATATTCAGTAGGCAAACTACGTTCTCTCACTGCCTCTGTTGAAGTGCTTGTCCATTCACTACTTGGCCCTTTTGTCATGGTGAACTTTTACAGATTAAGGCTTTGTTGTTGGCTTTATATATATATATATATGTACACACACACATATAGTTTTGTATGAATATCAGTGCAGTAGAAGCTCTGTATTTCAACTTTAAATTGTTAGACACTGAGCATAAATGCAACCTGATTTTACTGCGGCTCTAAAGTATGAAACAAGTCCATTTGAATTTTATCTTGGAAATAATGACAGACTGTGATTTCTTGCATTCACTCCTTGCAGGCAAAGCAGGTACATTTTTCTTTAACTGGATGAGAAATGAGGTTAGCTTCTTCCTTATCACTTTGTGTCTGAGAAAGCAGTCATCTGTAATCAGAATATATTTTAATGTTAGCAACAGAGTTTCTGATAGCAGATTATTAGTAACTGAATGCTTCTGAAACTTTTGTGCAAACTTTTAAAATCAGTTCCACTTATTAGAAATCGTTCATTAAAAGAATGTGTTGTAAGTTTCAATCACCAAGATTCTCTGCGTTTGTGAAACAGTGATTTTCAGTGTGTAGTCAAGTAGTTTGATAATCTGATCACAACAATTACATTGGATGGGATGAAATCTTACACATTTAAAAATGAATAATCCTTTTGGAGTAACACTCTGGTGGAGGAGTAATCTGCAATAAATCAAAATAGGATGCAGCTACTGCTATGATTACACATACGCTTCTGCAATGAAATTGATAGCTGTTTTGGAGGCTGCATACTGTAGAGATGCAAGATGAGTAATTATTTTTTGTTGTGTTTTGGTTTTTTTTTTTCTTTGTCAGCTGAAGCTGTTGATGTGCTAAAAGCATTAGAATTTCACAATTCACCAGAAGGAGTATCAAGAACAGCAGGATTTTGCACAAACAGAAGGGATTCAAAAGGATCAGATGTTGCCTACAGAGTTTCCAAAACTGCCCAGCTGAGTGCTCCAACAAAGCAGCTGTACCCAGGTGAGATTTTCAGAAAGCTATTACTTTGGTAAATTATCTTACTGCCTATGTTTTTCTGGTATCTAAGGCACAGCAGGTAGTCCATCATCAGTACCACAAACCACTTCTGTTATCCCTAGAGTTGAGCCTGCATATGAACGACAGGATGTGTTTATCCAGTGAATGAATCAGTTTTTATTGGCTTCAGTTTTAAAGGTCTTCATGAAATTCTGTGTCACTGGCAGAATTGGCCTGTAAGTCATATTACCTATTCTTTTATGATGCTATCTGATGGAAAGCTTATTTGGTGGCTTTGGCAAGTTTCTTCCAGTTTCAGTAGTCAATTTAAAAGCAATACTTTCTGGAATAATGCTGCCATGGTAGAAATGAGTTGTGGTTGGCCATTGGAAAGTCATTCCCAGAAGTACCATCTGTTAAGAATTACCTAAGAGTATCTGGGTATTTGAGGGATTAAACAAGGCTAGTTGTGGATAGCAGGTAATGTGATTCCGTCTTCTCTCAAATTGCTCTAAAATGAAATAATCACATTTTGGAAAAGATTCTTTGGATGTTGAGGATAGACTTTTATTCCATTATTTTTCTGTCACTTGTCACTTCACTTCCTCCTGTTGAGGAAAATGATAAAAACCAAAATTATGGAACATTTAATTTTTCTGTCTTGATACATCACACAGAGTTTGAACAAGTCTGTCTATAAACTTACAGATTAAATGTTGACAAAGAATAATAATTTCTTTTTTGTCTATTGAAGAGCAATCATATAGATATCATCCAAGATCTATAAAAGGGGGGAACATACATTATTTTGTAGTAATAATGTGTTCCCGAAGCAACATGGGAAACAGCTATACACAATTCAAGCATAACTTACATGTTCACTTAACTCATCAGTTTACTTTTTATTCATGGAAAAAGATCAAAGCAAAAGTCACTACAAATACTTACATTATTTTATAACAGTTCTTTAGTTGTTAATATATCCTCTCAACTAAGTTGTATGTAGTTTACACATCAATCCAGCTGAAAATATTAACTGAATGGCACATTACAGTCTACAATGTCTTGCTGATATTAGTGTGGCTGTGTATAATTAGTTATTACTTCACCTAAGTAAGGTTAACAGAATATGGACTGCTCTTTCTTTAAAAAATTCAAAAATGATCCATTTTATTTAAAAACTGCACAAATTGCACAGTGTAATAAATGGGCACCTTTATATTCTGAGTTTTACAGAGCATGTCATTTAAGCCAAGTAATAAAACAAAACACTTTATATAAGCATTCAAATACAACTGGACAGAAGATTAATCTGACTTGGAATCACTAATTTATTTTTTTTTTTTAAGACAGTACAAGCACCTTTTGCTAAATCAAAGCCTGAGAGTCCAGAGCTGGAAGCCTGACAGCTTGGCTTGACTTGCACTTATTAATTAATCAAATCATAACATAAAGAGGAGATCTGGCAGCTGCCATGATAACTGTTCATATGGTTCTTGAACGACAGAACAAATAAGTACCTCATGTTGTTGACTGACATCTAAATTTCTATAGCCTTTGACTGCCTTTAATTTAGGTACTCTTCTTAGTAATGCTTTCAGTTTCTGTCTTACAACTGGAATGAGTTTGCTTGATTTTACCAATCTGTTGCAACACTTCTGTGTGCAGGAGACAAATAAAAAGCCTTGCTCACTCACAGTATAAAAAGAAGCCACCACAAAACTTTACTTAATACAGGAAAATGTCATGCTGTCCTCTACTTCAGAAAAGAACCTAGAAACAATTTTTTGGAGATGATTATGGTAATGACTTCCTTTTGAATCTTGCAGAACAGGCATCCTCTTCCCACCGCAAGAAATCCTCCTTTTTCAGAGATTATTATCAAAGACATTTGAGTGATCATTTTCTTAGTGCTCTATAGTAGTGGAAAGGCTACAAAAGATATAAGACAAAACTGAGTTATAAGACATCGTTTTAGCACAATGATACAAGTTGTAATGCATCTTATGCTTGCTTTCATCTGACTCCTATAACTCTCTAGGAAGTATAGGTATCTTTTAGCTACTGCAGCTCAAAGGGAGTTATGAAATGGCAAAAGCTGGGAGCATCAATATATTCATCTTTTGAAAACTGATATAATTATATTTATCAACGTCCCAGAATATAGTTTGCATTGATTTAACTGACTAAAAGGCATTATATAATTGTAAAGATAACTGCTTAGATTTTTGTTGTACTGTTTATATGCTTTTAGTTATCTTTTACAAAAGCATATAGGAATCACAGAAATGGCAAGCCAGATATATACAAAGATTTTTCTAGTGATTTTTCCTCCAATTATTATTATTTTTGGTTGGATTTGTGTCCAAGAATTATATATACATAGCAATATGTAAAATTTTACATGTTAGAATGACATTCATTTTTGAGGGTGGTAAGGTACAGGAACAGGTTTCCCAGGAAAGTTGTTGATACCCCATCCCTGGAAGTGTTCAAGGCCAGGTTGGATGGGGCTTTGAGCAACCTGGTCTAGAGGAAGGTGTCCCTGCTCATGGCAGGGAGGTTGGAATGACATGGTCTTTAAGGTCCCTTCCAACCCTAACCATTCTGACTCTTTCAATCAAACTGAGTTTGGAGGAAATTTATTTATAATTACACCATGTAGGTGCAAGATAAAACATTTGGGAATATTTCGTCATAGCAGTGATAACAGAAACTACCAAACTGAGGCACATGAATAATTTTCAGTGACCTTTCTTAGAAAGCTCTCAGTTTTTTTTCATCGGATGTTATCTGCTTGAAGAGTACATGCCCAGACTAGCTGAATTTGTGTCACTTGCCTTAAGCATTTTCAATATATCTTTCAGATTAACAGTGCAGACAGGGTAAGGGTTCAGTGCTTTTCAACTAATTTCTTTGGCTTTTGTTGACAGTCATGTTTTCTCTTTCTTTTCTTATTTTGGTGATCTGTTTACTGTGACGTTAAAAGATATAACATGCAGTTTAATATGTAAACTAGCAGTTTTGCTTTGCCTTTAAAAAGCTTGTTCTAAGGCTCATCAGGGTAAATGAAATGCTTCCTATTTATTGAGCTTTGATCCCTTCAAAATAAGATGTCAAAACAAGCCCTAAAGTGGTCTATATTGCTGCCATGTTTCAACAACCTTCTACAAAAAGGTTTAGAAATGGTAGAAAGCACATAAATCAACAGTGCAGCAGACAATTTACTAAGTGTAAGACTAGGGATTTTCTGTTTTAGGAGAGCAGTATGTCATTTAAAGAGCAATGAAGATTTTATGCATTTTGTTTTCAGACTGTAACTAAAGAGTTAATACCATCAATGGCTTGTCTTCATGGAACACTCTGTAGAATCCTGAAAGAGTTTTCCCACAAGATCTGTCTTGGAATAATCTTCTATATTCTCCATTAGAAGAAGCAATTCCTAAATCAGCTTTCCATGCTGAAGTCTTACGTGCTTTTATTCATTGAAAAAATGTAACATTTTTATTAAAACTTAGTGTATTATATTATTAGAATGTACACAAAGTTGCAGTTATATTCATTGCCAACATTATAATTAGATTCTAATCCCTCTATTTCTTGCATGTCAAATTGCAGGTGAAGCCACACATATCCAATACATATTTTGATTTCAGAATCTCAGTCTTACACTTAATTTATTATTAAGCTTAATAAACTTTCACATCAAGTGAAATGAGATTTATCACCAGGTTCAATAGGACTAGTACTGAGTACAAACCTCAGACCTTCCTTTATAAAAACGCTAATTAATTTTGTTTATTTTTAGTTGTAAAGGTTGAAACAGTGATTGATATGTAATCTCTACTTCAAAGAGAAAGCATCGGAGAATAAATGAAAATTAAATGTTCTTTAATTTTACCTAAAGCTCCTATTAAATAAAACTAATTATGTATTTTTTCAATGTTAAGCACAATATTATTCTAGAAAGACAAAAATATATGTTGTGAGACAGAAATTAAAACAAGTGGTTATCAAGGGAGTTGAAGTGCCTGGGAACATATTTGCTATAATAGGGATACTTATTTTGCTGAGTGAAATTGTAGTGCACGCTTTTAGATTAGAAGATTGCTAAAAAGGAGATAAATAGAAAAAAATAATGAATGTTAAACTATTATGGTTCTTGCATATATTGTATTATTACATAAACTCACAATAGATTTGCAAGTCATATTTTCAAGAACCATTGAAGTATATCTTTCAGGAATTAAAGTGAGACCAGAAAGAAAAAAAAGAGATAAAAAATTTTCTTAGTGTAATTTTTTATGCATTCATTTTGGAAAATTAAAAAAAACCTAGCAGTTTGTAGGCAGAATCCTCTGTCCTTATAGAAAAATGTAAACCTTTAAAAAAATGTTTCATCTTTTCTGAATTTCTAAACTGTATATATCACTTTGTTTACAGGTGGAGATTTTCCAGAGGATTTTTCAATATTATTGACAGTAAAACCTAAAAAGGGTATACAGTCCTTCCTTCTGTCTATCTACAATGAGCAAGGAATTCAGCAAGTAGGTGTTGAAGTTGGTAGATCCCCTGTCTTCCTCTTCGAAGACCAAAATGGAAAACCGGCCCCGGAAGACTACCCTCTTTTCAGAACAGTCAACATTGCTGATGGCAAGTAAGTATAAAATTTCATGATGAAAAATAATACCATGGACCACTGCATAGGTGATTATGGTCTTTAAAACAGTTATCTTAAATATTTAAATAAAGCAGTAGCACGATTTCCAGACAGTTGGACTGCTATGATACAAATCAGAGAACCTTTGCAGCAGAATACAGTTCCAGCTTCAAATGGTGTATACAGCTACAAATAAAGCCAAACCATCTTTCTTATTTGCCATTTCTATAAATCAAGAGTGAAAAAATAGTCATAGAAGTTAAAGTCACCGAAACTAAACCTATGAAGATTCTTCTTGTACAATAAAGAAACTGTTTTCAAAAAGACTCAAGGAATAGTCTTACCAGAAGGGCTGTCTTTTCTATTTGAAGGTTATAGACAGAGTGAAGACAAGTTGACAAGACAGGGTAGAATTTCTCCTATCCTGAACCAAAACAGCAGATAAATAACATGGTTTGAGATGTCTATATATAAGGAAATCAGGGAAGAATAAGCTGGACAATTAATCTGAAGTGCTGCAAGGACTTATACTGCACCCTCAGTAAAGGTGATTAATCTCAAACACCTATTGCATTATTAATGCACTTAATTTTTTGTACCCAACTTCCCTTTGTAGGCAAGCAATCATTCTCTGGGAATGTCATTCTGGTGCTTGCAAATGGACATTAATTCTTTCACAGGCTTTTTATTTACTCTGTTGCTGTCCAAGAAGAGCAGCCACAGTCTTCAGAGATAAACAGAATGAAATTTTGTTAAAGCAAAAGAAAAAAATCAGTAGAAAAGGAAGGGCAAAAATTCAACTATAATGAAATATATTTATAAAGCAATAAAGGATTAAAAAAAAAGAAAAAGTAGTTTTCTTCTAGACCTTATATTACCAAAGAAAGGAATTATACTGGGAAACCTAAACCTGATGCATTCCTCTAGCAGAATGAATGATTAAAAAAGCAGCGAACTTTTTGTTTGTTTGCTTATTTCCTCAAAATAATAAAGCTTTGACATGGATTTCAGAATTTCACTCAAATTGTTGAGAAACTGATAAAAATGAAGAAATCAAAGTGAATTTGGTTTCGTACAGTTTCCTGCAGTGAGACTATACAACTTCTAAATCAACTGGAGTCAATCCTATCCACAGTGAGCTGTTTTCATGCTTTCAGCTTCTACATGCTTTCAAAAGAGAGACCGACAATTTTCTTCTGACTCAGCTATTTTATGAAGGTTCTAGGACAACAATCTTCGTCTCAAAATGAGACATATTTAAAAAGTGTAAACAGTGTAATGTGCCTGAGGATGCATGGACAGTTTGCTTTTATAATGATAATGTTTAACCACATTCCAGAGAAAACATGGAATTAGAGTTCTGGCTCAGTGATACTGTTTAGCAGTCAGATTCCATTAGCTTCGGGGTGTTCTTTTTGATATACAGAAGCTCTTTGTAACAATGATCTAAGCTGTCTTTCTGATTTAGACAACCTTATTTCCACAAATGCCAACTAAAATAATTTGATTCCGTCCTTCCTCTTACCAGTCACTGGTATGACATACTTTGACACTTTTTGCCCTGGTCTATCAAAGATTCTTTGATGTTTTGCTCCATGTTAGATTGCAGAGTGGCCTGCTCTTGCTCTTAGATATTTAAGTTGTCATAGCAGAAAGGCTTACTAAATTAATGTGGTCTGTCATGATAATAAAGTCTCATGAAGAGCATAGTACAGTTGGGTAAATTGTACAAATCTTTATTCTCCAGTGTCTTTAAAATAAAGTCATTTATCAGTATTCTCAATCACTTAATTCACTTTCTGGTGAATATTTATGTAGGCAAAGCTATTGTTGCAGGAATATTGGCAAACATTTGTAAGTATATGTATCTGGAAAAGCATCTACGTTGGAACTGAAAAATCTCTATGGCTGTAGGATACATTCAAATAAGCAAAAGAACATTGTACAATTTTGGTGATTGATCACAGAACAAATAGGAAAATGTTAATTACAAAGAATAAATGCAAGTAATTCCTTAAGTAATTTGGAAAATCAAACAAATTTATAAAAATGAAATCTGCTGTCATAGATTCATAGATTCATAGATTTC